TTTTTTTTTTTTTTTTTTTTTTTTGCGGAGGAATCCGCAGCCGTTACCCACGTATGCGCATTGGGTAAACCTTTGGACTGATGCAATAGCTTGCAAACCACGCCAACTAGATAAATCGCATTAGGTATGCCCAGTGCGACAAACTCGATCGAGAAAGTGTTGGTAGCGAAAATCGGACTCGTGACTAAAGGCTCCGTGCTCACCTACTCCATCAACTCGACCACCCCATGAGGAGCTTCTAAAGTACTAATTGCATGGATAGCTGCTGCATACCTAGAAACCAAAGGAACAAGAAAACTCTCTCTGAAAATTTGTACTAGGTAGAGAAGAAAAAACACCTGTGTGAATTCACACCCAAAAGATTGAAAGAAACTTCCCTTCCAATTGTTTTTCCTTCTTCCATCAGCTTTTTTTGTCCCTCTTGCCCACAACCACAAGTTTGGGACCTGTGTGTGTGTGTATCACTTTTGTTGACCCAAAAGAAAACAAAAGAGGATTTGAACTTTTTCTTCCTCATGGGCTGGACAAGCCCATATAACAAGGGAATACTACATAACTACAATATTATAAAAACACATTTTATAAATAATGAACTCATTGAAATATTTCAAAAATCAGGTGGTAAAATATTTATTAAATATTAAACTATAATATAATATACATTAATTATTTTTATTCCATCCCACCTCATTCACCCCATCATATCACCCCACTACACTACCTTCCCTCCACCTCTCCACTGAAGATAGCATCGGCTCTGACATTTACTCTGCGATCGCTCTGGTAGCAGCTCCGACGATTGGTATAGCAACCGTTCTGACAAACTGCGGCAGTGAATGCTCCAATAACTACTCCGACGACTATTCCACCGATTGTTCCGACTCCGGTAATAGAAAAATCTCCAAAATTTGTGAAGGTTGTAATGGTGCATTGTAGTTATCAGATTTGCAACCGTGTTATCTATGACCATACCTGTGTTATATGTGACCAATTCACTGACTTATGTTATCTGAGAATCACCGTGACCAACTTTGCCTTCGGTGTGACTAATTTTGACCAAATTTGTATTCAGTATTACTGTCTGTGACCAGATCAATCTCAAGTCACAATCGATCACAATCAATAAAAAAATTGGTCACAAATAGTCATAACCAAATCTCGAACAGAAAAAATCAGATCTCCAACGACCACACCAGATTTGTTCGGAAAAATAATAACCACCACCACTACTAACATCTTTAACTCAAATTGATGATCATAAATACTACATTCACCTCAAATCCACAACAATCATCACTCCATAACTGCCACCAACCCTTCAAAAAACACCAACCAGCACCACCACACTTCTCTTATGAAACTCGGGTTAGAGAAGTGGTAGGTTGTCAGAATCCAAAGGGTGGGTAGGGAAGAAGTCATAGATCTGATTTTTGGGTAAGAGAGTGCCGAGCTAATTTTTGGGGGAAGAATAGAGTGTGTGGATTAAAAATTGATACAAGATCTGGGGTAAATTGATACGGCGTCTATGACCAAGTTTGTATTCAATGTGACTATTTATGACCAGATGATTCTCAAGTCACAACTAATCACAATCAACACAAAATAGGTCACAAACAGTCACAATCAGATCTCGAGCAGAAAAAATCAAATCTCCAACCACAACAACAAATCTATTCAAAAAAATAATAACCATCACCACTACTAACATCTTTAACTCAAATCCACAACAACAATCATCACTGTCATAACTTCCACCAACACCTTCAAAAAAAAAAAAAAAAAATCAACCAATTGATTACTGAATATTTCTCAATAAAGATTTTCAAGATTCTTCTTCAGTTATTTCTTGAAAAGATAAGGAAGATTATGAGAGAGAAGTCATAGATCTGATTGTTCTTCACCATATGGTCCCCACGTTCATGTTTGATTTTCTTCTCCTCACAGACTAGTTAGTGACCCATATACTGCATTGACACTTTCCTAAAAATATAAGCTCATCAGCTTTCAAAGAAGAGATTTGTGCGAAACTTCGGCGATAGAAGTGGTAGGTGGCCGGAATCTAAAGGGTAAGGGTGCGGAAAAAGCCATCGATGAGATTTTTTGGTAAGAGAGTGTTGATCAATTTTTGGGAAAGATAGAGTGTGTATGTGGGTTAGAAAATGAATCGGGGTATGGAGTAAAAGAAGTGTTCAGGGGTGGTAGAGTGGGTGGGTGTAATTAATTAATCTAAAAATTAGTATTTATCAACTGGTTATTAAAATTTAATCTTTCACCCACTTGTTTTAAAAATGTAATCTTGAAAAGAAGGGATCTAGGTAATTTTCCCATATAACAATATCCTCCTTCAGCTTACTGAGGAAAGAGATTATCCTCTAAAAGATTAGTTAGAGTCCATGCTGGCCAGTTCGGCACAAAGCTCAAGCTTTTCTCGAGTCACAACCTTTGTCATCATATCAACTAATTTTTTCTTTGTTTGAAT